AGGCCTGAATTGTGGTCCATTTGCTTCTGGCAAGAACTAGAAAGTGTGTTGGTAAAGATTTTACCAAAGGACATATTTTGACGGATGAAACTCAGTTCTCTTTTAGTGAAGAACAGTAGCAGAAGGCGGCAGAAGACACGCCATAGAGAACTGCAAGTTTTGCTTTAAGTCTCAGCCAAATGAGTGTTATGGGACATAATACATGTCCTAATAAAAAAAAAAATAAATAAATAAAAAGGACTCTAGCCATTGACTATTGACATTAAAGTGAGGTTTCCTACTATCATCAACTTCAAGATCAAATTCATCCATGAAAGCTAATAGAGCCGACCCTGTTTTTTAAGGTTCCCATTAACAAATGCAGCTGCTTCAATTCTGTTTAAATCCAGATCTCATTTTATTCGTGCATGCACAGAATGAGGCCAAATCCTTAGGGACAAGAGTTCCCAGGGAATAAGTGATCAAATGAGCCAGCTGTACATACAGAGCGAGGTAGGAAAAATAAAAAATGAGCATTTGTATTAAAATCTTGAAGTTTGAGGGTCTTCTTTATTTCATGGATTGTAGGTGAAATTTAATGAGTGCATGTTTGTTTCTCATAATACATTGTACAAGATATGGTCAATGGTGTCCACAGACTCATTTTTCAGGATCCAGAAATGAATCATTTAAGGGTATTTGTTCTTCATTACGTGCAGATACTCATATCTCTATTCAATCTGTGTTTTGTATGCTATCAGGTCACATAGCGAATAAGTAACATTCAAATAGCATTCATTGGTTTTGCCAGGCTGCTTTCTGACCTGCCTTACTAAAACTTCAACAGGGCTACCTACTCAGGTACCACTAAAGAAACGGAGTTAACTGGTAAAATGAAAGCATGGTTTGTAAAAACACAGTTTAGTAGTGTCCAGAAACCTCACCTGAAGAGAGAGCTCTGATGAACTACCCTTTTAAAAAACCTTTTTCTCTTTATTCTTGCAATTGTGATTTCTGAGCATTTTTAAATGTTATTAAGTAACAAATTAAATTCAAACGCATATTGGCTACACAACACATTGTCATCCAGTTTACAAGTAAATTACCCTGGTCACATTATTATGATGATTGAAATTTGCACTTAATTTTCAGCTAGAAACAACTTCAGCATACAACAAAGCCTACAACTTAACAAAACTACCGTATCTTTAACTTTCTTTTTAACCAAATCCTGCTTTGTTCAGAGCTTTTGCAGGAAATGGGTGACTCACACAAGCAGGATATACTTTGTGCCCCTACTTAGCAAAGAGCAGATTAGTTCTTGATGGATTTATTACACGCTGCTCAATGGAAGAGACAGTCAGCTTTTTTTTTTTTTCTTTAAATGAACTAATCACCCTCATAAGGACCTAGTCAGTGGAAAGAAGCATGTACTTAAGTTACTCAGATAATTTCCCTCTCTGCTCTTCTCTGGAGCCATCTAACTTCTCTGCACTGATATAGTCCATTCAAAGTCTATGGACCTCAAGTGGGCCATACAACACAGGAATATTTCCAGAAGTATCAAAATGGTTATTGGAAAAAAAAAATAAGTGATTAAAAAAGGAAATTCAAAGTATTAAGAAATACTAGTAAAAGGAATTCAGTACTATTAGAAAGACTCACCCATGACTCCTCCACTTTCTTCCATATTAGAGTCAGTGTCACTGGCACTAAAAAACACTTGGAAAAATCTGTGGTGATGCAAGTTTGACTCTTCAGGCAAATGCTTGAGGATTGTAGGAATCTTTTTGCACCTTAGCAGCCTTTCTTCCTGTACATATATGAGTTTAAATGCTACCCAAGCATATATTATTGAATAAATGAGATTATCTAGGGAGGAAGGGAGGGAGTGGAAGAGTCTAACAGAAGAATATGATGAACATTAGAGAATAGCTTTCTGATTATGCAGCAAAAATTCAGAATCCTTTGCCTATCAAGTGCATTTTGGATTTGACTAAAGAAATTCCCTCTAAAAAAATCTCTTTTTAAGTAATATTAAATTGGTCTCAAAGACATTCCCTAGAGATCTCAAAGCAGACAAACTTTCCCCTAGAGGCACCTCAGGAAGGTAACAATGAGCAGCTGTTAGACCTCCCTCCTGGGTAAGCTGGCTCTCCTGCCTCCTGTTACATGCTTGAGCAGATAGGTAGGCAGAAATAGAGTAACTTCCTGCTATTTCTTATATTTTAAAACCTGTGATAAATTAGTATTGTTGATATATACTAGAGAAAAACAAAAAAGACAAGTTTGAAATAAGTTGTTTGAGAATGCCCACGTCTAGCATTGATCAGGGAGCTAGACATCACACTACATTAAACAATCTGATTATTGTTCCTGGTCCAAAAATCTATGTTTCTTAAAAATCAGTGTTTCTAAAATGTTCAGAACTTCATGACTCACCATTGCTTCAAGAGTAGTTAAACTAAGACCTGCTTCCATAAAATATTCTGCGTTTGGATGAAACAGTATTTTTTGAGAGAAGTCCTGTGGTGAAAACCTCTTAAGCTTCTCAGGCCGAAATCAAACCTCTGGTCCTGGAACAAAACCATTTAAGTCAGTGAGGTTTCATCAGTGCAGCTCGGAAGAGAATCTGCCCATTAGCACGTTTAAAGAATTTGCTCACTGCCAGAGTACTACCTTAATTTGCTTTTCTGAATAAACTTCAATTTCAGCACTGAAAATCAATTTAATATTGTGGACACATGAAATTATTTCAATAGGAACGTTAAGAAACAGGAAAGGCTAAGTAATTGTAGGTTAAATATAACTAAATAAGGATGGGTTTTTTTTTTTTTGAAACTTGCAAATGTGTGCTACGTGTTTGTAATAGAGCATATGGCCCCTTCTTGGCCCTAGGGATTAGCTAGCTCTCCTTTGGTTGAACACAACTGCTGGGAATCAGCTAAAGAGCACCTGTTCTAACTGAAGAATGGCATGGGACCCACCCCGAAGCAGAGGAAGAAGAAACAGGCTCCCTCTAGCCATCTTTATGAGCACTTAAAAGATGAAGTAGAATTTGTGGGCTTACCTAGTGAAGTTAATTTTTTCTGATGCCAGAATTAGTTGGAGAGTTGGTCCAAGAGTTGATTTGGAAGGAAGATGAAAGCTTTCTTTCGTTATCTGTATGGCCCTATTCACTCTACTTAAAATTGAACCAGTCTGAGAGACAACCGAGTGAAGTGGTTAGAGAGGGTATTTGCATGGAAGTAGGTGAGATCAAGCTACTGCGTTCAAGGGGAAAGACAGAAAATGTTACTGTCTAGAATGAATGTAAGAACTAATAGAGATGTGATAAAAGAGCATGACAAGCAGCCCTAAAGAAAGGCAGAGATTACAGCAATGTGATCAGATGGTGACTCTTTTAAAAAACACTTAAAATCGAACAACTGAAATTGCTTTGCAGGACACAGTTCTCATGCTCAGCCTTGCTGATGGGTCATCTAATTCAGACTTCACCTGAGACTTCAGATGTTGTTTTCAGATGTTGTTCAGAAAGTTGCTTTAGTTGATCTGGGATTTGCAACAGGTAAAGAAGGTAGCGAAAATTCCTAGGCAGGTATGGCTGTGTGTACTACAAAACAGAACTGATGATTAATTATGATGTGAAGCAATGCCTGGAAATAATTTATCAAATGGTCTGTGTTTGCCATCTAGTGGTGCAAAGCCAAAATTTTTATTTTGATGCGTGAGAGCAGACAAGACAGCTGAAATCTTCTGTCTCAGAAGCAGACCTCTCAGAAATATGAGTGCTTTCAGGCAGACGGTGGTGACAACAGTGTAACTGTCCTTTTGGGAACTAAGGGCAGAAATTTTGCAGCCCTTGACCCACCAGACTCAGGACTAGATCATCAATGATTTAGCGAGGGCTATCCCATCATTGATCTGTTGCTCACTTTTAGTATTCTGATCCTAAGAATATTAAGGTACTCAACTTTTCGCTGCTTTCTGTGAGATTTCAGGCAACTAAATATCCCAGGGATTTGAGATTATGTTCTAACAGCTTATAAACCATGCTCATAAAACCCTCAGCCAAGGGCCCTCCAGATTTCTAGAGGCATCAGCTATGCTTTAGAACATCCCTGTATGAAGACATATGATTCTCTTCCAAACAGGAGACTTTGTACAGGAAGTACATACCATTCTGGCAACAGAACATATATACCTAAACATAAGCTGTAAGACTACTTTTCTTTCTTAAAACATTTCAAGGATGTGTGAATAAAGAATTAAGCATTAACTTTATTTCTCAGTTATGTCATATAGTAAATACAAGATGAGGGGCATGCATTAATAGAAATATATTTTATCAGAAGAAATTATATACAGCATGATACCCAGCCATACATGTTATTTACCTGGATTTCTTGGTATATAGTTAAGAAAATAATAATTACATATTGATTTTTTATCAGTATTCAGGAAGTTTAAAATAATTCCCCCATCCCAACTAAACAGCAAATGTTTTCGTGTTTTACTACAAAAACATAGCTAGGAATTAAGAGTTGGAGTTTTTATGGTATCTTTGTGATTCAGGAGCATCACTCAGTTTAGCTGCTCCTGGGATTTTCCCTCCTAAGTCAGTCATACAGATTTTGTTTTAAACCCCTTTTACAAGCCATAATGAATGAAAACTAAGCGATACAAATTACACAGAGGACAAATCCCAGATGACTAAACCAAAGATTAATGAGATCAAATTAACTTTACTACGTAGTGTTAATCATATTAACACTAATATGATTCTGAAAAGTGTACCTATACAATAAAACCGCATACATAACAAAATATGTGGAAGAAGAATTTTTTTAAATTACATGCTATTAGCTATGTTCCCTTCTTTTTAAAAAATTATTGAATATTCTATTTATTGAGCAGCTGTTGCTATGTTCAGTCATTCATTCATCCATTCGTTCAACTGTTATTTAATTAATTATTCAATCAATTGTTCACTGAGGGACCGTATATGATCTATGTTTTACAATTGACCTCAAAGAGTGAGGCAGCTGAATGCATCCGATAGAAAATAGAAAAAGGCATCGCAAGGTTCACAACAATTATCCAGGGTTCAAAGCCAAAAACTATTTCTTCTAGTCCATTGTCATACTCCGGGCGGCACCCGAATGCCGGTGGTATCCACAGCTGCAAGGAAAGAACGCAACGCCAATATTAATCACCAGCAATAAAGTCACTAGCTCTTAATGACTGAGACCCCACTGAACTGCAAACTGCTTTCAGAAATCCCTAAGAAATCCCTCCCTGTTGCTACTGGGGCACACTGGTGGAAGAGGGTTTCAGCTTCCGCTGCTGCTACAGTTTTTGTACTGTGACTAGAATGAGCCTAGGTTCCCGGATTCCACGTTTAAATAAACTTAATTCTCCAAAGGCATATCCATTTATTCTTCCAGAAGAAGTAAAATTTACTTGCCACAAACTATAGAACCATGTAATTTTAATATACTTATCAGGCTTGAAAGGTTGGGAAGCTTTTGGATATTAACTTGTGAATTATGTTCAAAATGTCTTACCGAAAGGTTGCAGAGGAATAAAAATGCAGCGATGTTCTTCAGAATTCTCCTCTTGTTGTTAGTAACTGAGTTTCTACTGTAAAATGAGAAATCTGAGGCTGAATGCATGACTGAACTATTTTCCTGACTCGTTTCTTCTTTGGCACCACCACCACTACCATCATTTTCTCTCCCACGTATACTGCCCTTAAACAGACAGGGCACCCCCCCGCTGTCACAAGTGGCTCTGCCGTTGTACGGCTCTTTGTACGAAGGGGTAAGTGATAAAGTGCTCCCTCGAGATATAGTCACTACTCGAAGAGTTTTAATATCGTCATTCACCTTTTCCTGCTCACGGTGGATGGATTCAATGATAAAGAGGTTCTGAATGTATTTCTCAATAATAACCAGGACGGAGTAGGGCAGGTTATACCATGTGTATTTTGGATGAGCCTGGGCACAGATAATGGCGAGGATTGAGCCCCAGGAGAGGAGCCAGGACCCTGCAGCTGTGCCCACCAGCAGCTCTGCATCAAGTTTTCGAGCGGGATTTTTTGAATTATCCAACGATCTATCTTCCAATCTGTAGATGAGAAGGGCAACAACTCCAGCTGTACACATGAGAGCCAACACAGAGATAGCATGCAAGTAAAACATGGTAAGTGCTAACTCGCTTTTGATTTTTGAACGTCCAATCTGAATTAAATACACAACAACTATGGCTATTGTGCTAGTTAACACAATTAGTCCAAAAATCATTCCAACAGTTATGCCATGGAATTTGAATGGAGTTTTGTGTTGCTGGTGGTGCTCGACTTTGCGGCCAATGTTTTTCCACAGGACATAGAGCATTGTGGATGCTAGGATGTGGTACTCTATATTAAAGGGGTATAGATAATATATTCCTTGAGAAAATATTGAGCAGAGAGTTGTTGTCGTGCAATTGCATTGAGGTGCATGATCATCTAAAACTAAAGGAGAGGGAGAGATTAGTTATATGCATTACAAAGATCTCTTGTTTCAAGTGAATAAATAAAACATAAATAAAATAACAAAATATAAAGATAAGATTTCAGTCAACCAACACATCATGCCACCCAGTTAGCCACCTAAGAAAACATCTTGCCATTAAAGTCATTAACCTCACAAAGCTTTTGCATGTGCACTGACTCCACTGCTCAGCTGCTGAACAATAATCACATCATGAACAAATGCTGCACCAAAGTGCACCAAACTTCAGCAGGCCCTTGATAAAAACACACTTTATAAATGAAAATCCAGATCCCAAGGGCTTTGAGCCCTCAGCCCTTCAGACTTTTATAGAAGCCTGGGTATCTGTGGATCGGATCAAGAACAAGCTTAACTAGGAAAGGGCTCAGTTCTACTCTCATTTTTATCAGTTATTTACACTACTGTGGTTTCTAATACCAAACCCACTTTATTAAGAAGTTGTTTATGTCTAGGAAAGAGGTGAAGTAAACCACAGATATTTCCACTCAATGTTCCAGTATAGTTTTAGGGTTAAAAAAAAAAAAAAAAAATTAATCTTCTCCTTTTGAGAGGAACCTATGAAATCATTCTCTTTCTGCTGTGCAGTTACCTGCATTGCAAACCCCTAAGGCATCTCAATGAACAATTGCTCACAGTTGTGGAATAAATATATTTAGTGTGCATTTATAACCTAAGCAAATAATGTTAAAAATCGGAAATTTCCACAATGACAGAAAAAAATTACTTATTTTCACAATGTATTTATTTATAAATATATAAACATATATGCTGAAAAGCACATTTTTAGGCGCTGATCTTAGATTTGTGCCTGGAAGCTTTTCTTTTGTTTTCTAAAATTTTAGAAGAGAAGAGGAGAGGAGAAAGTTGGTATTGTTTTGTCTCAAGCACACAAATCTGTTAAGGGGCGAAAAAAATTGCTTTTGCAGTGGATTATATGGTAATGCCAAATTTGTCCTGTGGATCACTACTTCACTCCCCCTTGTTTCAGATGGTATTTCTGACTGTTCATAATTGTGTAACAATTCCGGCAGCAGAACACTAGGAAATAATATAAGGAAATTGCTTCTATTTAACAAGTAGAAATATCAAGAAGAGCCACTAACTTGTGATTCACCTGCTCTCTACTAATGCTCCATGATTCTCTGAACTATCAGTTCACCTACCTGATTATTAACAGAAACTAGGTAGTTTCCACAGATACATATAATAGGGAACAGTTGCAAATAGATGTAAAATTGTAGGCTTAATTTTAGACACAGTTATACTGAATATACTATTTTACAGATTTTAAATACAAGTTTTCATTTATATGTGAACTTC